TTCTCAGGTGGCCTTCCTTTATCATACTGGATTTTTCTTAATTCAGAATGAATTCACAACCTCTCATTTTCTGTGGAAACAAAAGCAAAATCTCTTCTCCAAAGTAACAAACCTTTTGACTTCAGTTTTGAAGCCAAGGTATTTTCAAAATACCTATCTTGGGTTAGTTCAGCAGCATTTATAAACAAAAGTCTTTTAGCAGCTGTTGTTCCTTCCTCAGCAATCAAACAATTCAAAGAGAGCATAATAACATACAGTATCAAGATTCTCTGTGCATTTTCCATCTTTATTTTAACCTCTATTTCTTTTAATTTTACTTTTACTTTTTGAGACAGGTTCTCTGTATATCTTTGTCCTGGAATAACTCTGTAGACCAGGCTGTCCTTGAACTCACAGAGATCTGCCTGTCTCTACCTCCCCAGTGCTGGGATTAAAGGTGTTTGCTACCACACCTTGAACTCACAGAGATCTGTCTGTCTCTGCCTCCCAGGTATTGGGATTAAAGGCATGTGCTACCACACCTTGAAGTCACAGAGGTCAATCTCTACCTCTGTCCCTTGAAGTCACAGAGGTCAATATGCCTCTGCCTCCCAGGCATTGGGATTAAAGGTGTGTACCACCACACCCTATTTCTCCCCTTCTTTCTTTTTTATTTTTAATGACTTTAACCTTTAGCCTGCATATATTTTTAATACACTGTAAACTCTTTAGAGGTTTTCTTCATCTTTGAACCTCTCTTTACTGTATCTCTCTCTCTCTTTTGACTACATGAGTCTTTAAGGAGAAGATTAATCCTCTCCTTTAAAGCCGTGGCTTTGACAGCTAGATCCAGCTCATTCTTTAGCTTTCCAGCCTTGTGGCTGAGGTACCAGCCAGAGCTGTGTTCGCTGCCACAACTCTATGGCTTTTCAAGGTCCTTGCCAGCAAGCAAGCTGCAGCATTCTGCTCACAGACCACACTCAGTCGAACTGCCTGCCTGAAAGAGTCAGAGATTGCCCTGGCAGGACAGCCCAGAAAACCAGCATTTTAAAACAGCGCAACTTTTTTCCTGCTATGGCTGAAAACCGAAAAGCATGCATTCAGCTTTTCATCAACACCGTTTAAGTATTTCATGGCAGGACCTCTTAAAAGAGCTGCAGAGTTTTGCAGCTAAAGCTGAATCAGGAATCCTCTCTTAGATGAGAGTGCTTGCTTGCCTCTAGCAAGCAGAGCAGATCTGAGAAATTGCTGCCACCAAGAAAACATGCCTTACTCTATTCTTTCCCAAACTTTCTCAGGCTTTCCGTGGATTCAGTTATCCACGTGGGCGTCATTTGTAACATGAAGGGCTGGCTTGTTGGGGTTTCTGTCCCGCCCAGTACCCCACAGCAGGCAGGCCCCAAAGAAAATCACACACAGGACTCCATAAGGTTATAAACTGATTGGTCCTTTAGGTCAGGCTACTTATTAGTTCTTATAACTTATGTTACCCCACTATCCTTAAGGGGTCAAAATGACCTCTTACCTCATCTGATCTGACAATAGTTCTCCAGTCAATTATTGGTATTAACCCTTTTCGAATAAGCCAATCATAATGGTCCAGGAACAACCCCTCTTGTTTCTATGGGGCCTTCTCCTTTAAAAGTAGACTGTACCAGTTAGTCGGGGTCTCTCAGCTACCCGAATGCTGGGGGACCCTGTCATGACAGAAATAATAAAATCCTCATGCTTTTGCATCGGCTGTGGTGTATGAGGTGGTCTCTAGGGGCGACTCCTTCTCGGTTTGGACACTAGAGTCCAACACCTGCAGCTTCCCAGCTTCCCCCTGGGGCCACCCGCGAGCGCAGATCTCCCATTAAACTTGGATATTCCTTAATTTGGCTTGTTTAATTTGTCTTGATTGGGAATTTTTGGGTGGGCAGGAAGCTCGCGTTAGGAAATATTCCTAACAATGACTACTCGAAGAGTTCAAAAATTCCCCTACACTCTTGGGAGAGATATTACAAAAAGACTTAACAGGATTCAAGGTGTCACACCCTAATTCAACTCTGTTCCGGCATCTTTTTTAAGACAGGGTTTCTCTGTGGCTTTGGAGCCTGTCCTGGATCTAGCTCTTGTAGACCAGGATGGCCTTGAACTCATAGAGATCTGCCTGCTCTGCCTCCCGAGTGCTGGGATTAAAGGCATGGACCACCACCGCCCGGCTGGGATTATCTTTTTTTGTTTGTTTGTGTTTGTTTGTTTTTCGAGACAGGGTTTCTCTGTGGTTTTGGAGCCTGTCTTGGAAGTAGCTCTTGTAGACCAGGCTGGTCTCGAACTCACAAAGATCCGCCTGTCTCTGCCTCCCGAGTGCTGGGATTAAAGGCGTGGGCCACCACTGCCCGGCTCAGATTTTCTTCTATTGGCAACAGTTGACATAGCCACCTGTTTGAAAGATACCAAAGATACTCCAGCTGCCCTACAACAAACAATCCCCTACATTTTATTTGGGTTGATGGATCCACCTGGGGAACAAGATTATATTCAACTGGGCATGATTGGGGTACTCTTTTACGATCCAGAGCAGATTGTATGGACCCCTCCACCCTTCTGCCCCCAGAATGCAGTTGGATAAACCTCTGGGTGCAGACCTCCTCCTCTTTTTCTCCAGTGGCCCCTGTTAACCCCAGGGGTTGGGTTAATTGACTACATTCCTAAAGAGGTATTTCCCTGACGGATCTTTAGCCCAGCCTGAGATGATACAAGATTACTGCATCTGCTTAAAACCCTGGCCCCTTCTCCCCCCACCCCCGCTCATTATATATGAATGTGAGCCACCATGTGGTTGCTGAGAATTGAACTCAGGACCTCTGACAGAGCAGCCAGTGCTCCTAACCTCTGAACCATCTCTCCAGCACCATAACTGTTAAACACAAAGCTTACAGATAACACCAGCAAAGCCAGAATTATTAAACATACGACTTTTTTTCCAACAGAAGAAATAACCTGGTGAACTTTTGGTTCCCTTTGAAGCCACCCCTACCCAGACTCCTTCAGATTACTGAACATTATTTTACAGTCAGTAGAACCCATCCTTATGCTTATCAGAAACCCTTCCTAGCTCTTATCCTGAGCATTACTCCTCAGTCAACAGAACCCTCTTGTGGAAGAGTCACAAGTGCTCAGCAAAAGACACACACTTCATAAGGGAGTTCAATGTAGCCATGCCTTAAGCTTTGTTGTTATAATTGTCATGAGGAAACTTTCTCCCGAGGTTTTACTATTTAAATATGTTAGATAGATAGATAGATAGATAGATAGATAGATAGATAGATAGATAGATAGATAGATAGATAGATAGATAGAGATAGATAGGTAGATGGGTGGATGGATGGATGTGGATGGATGGATGGATGGATGGACGGACGGACGGACAGACAGACAGACAGACCACGCTTGGTGTCAGACTCCAGAAGTTTGACCCAGTCTGGTTAAGTCATGTTGAACCGAGTTTTATTTCTGCTCCTCTGCAGATCATTTCACTGCCACTGTGCCCCGTGTAGGGACCCCCACAGGGATGAAGCTGTGTGCACAGTCTGGCTGGTAACAAACTGAAATCCTACAGAGTTATCTCTCATCAACAGGTCTTTTAGGAACCATGTCCCTATTTCCCAGGCATGTGTATTACTCTGGTGGAGTCTGTGAGAAAACTCGATGACCGAAGCCCTTTACAGAAGGAAGCTGATTTGGGCTGATGGTTCCAGAGGGCTGAGTTCATCATGGCAGGGAGCTGATGCAGCATGGCATGAGGAAGAGCTGAGAGCTCACATCTAGAACCTGGAGCAGGGGGCAGAACACTAATGGCGAACAGTGCAGGGCTTTGAAACCTCCAGTCCCAGCCAGTGATGTGCTTCCTCCCAGCAAGGTCACACCTAACTCTGCCCAGGGTCACACAACTGGAGATTAAAAATTCAAATGTCTACGTTTATAGGCCAAATCTCACTGAAATCAGCACAGTGTGTAAGGCTCTCAAATACCAAAACACGTGTGTTGTAAAATGCAGCAACACCAAGTGTGTGTCACAACCTGAAACAGCCCATGGCAACATCCGAGGGTTATGAAAATCAAAACTAATGTGGCCGGGTGGTGGAGGCACACACTTTTAATCCCAGCGCTCAAGAAGCAGAGGCAGGAGGATCCATCTCTGTGAGCTCAAGGCCAACCTGGTCTACAGAGCTAGTGCCAAGGCAGGCTTCAAAGCGACACAGAGAAACCCTGTGTCAAAAAAGCAAAAAAGAAAAAGAAAAGAAAAGGCAATGTCAGCCTCAGGCCTTTACTGTAGTGATACTTTATTTGTATTTTAAGAAATAAAGTTTGCCTGAAGATCAGGATGCAAAGCTAATTAATCCATGAGAGGCCAGGGAGTGGTGGCAAACACTTTTAATCCTAGGACTCGGGAGACAGGGGCAGACAGAGCTCTGTGAGTTCAAGGCTACCCTGAGCTACACAAAATTGATCCAGAAACAGGTCCAGGTGGTGGTGGCTCACACCTTTAATCCCAGTGTTTGGGATTCACACACCTTTAATCCCAGCACTAGGGAGGCGGAGCCAGGAGCGATCTCGCTGGGTGGAGAGAGGAATATAAAGGGGAAGAGACAGGAATTCACTGGTGTGTGGAGTCTGAGCATTGGTAGAGGGAAAAGGTCTCTCCAGTGTCTTACTGCTCTGCTTCTCTGATCTTCAGCTTTGACCCCTATAACTATTTTATTTTGTTCTTTAAAGACTTATTCATTGCTATATTGTGCGGGGACTCCTGTGGTTGATCCTTGAGTCTTGCTCTCAGAGCCTCGAGCTGGGCCAGAAGCAGCAATGTCTCGGGCTGGGCAGACAAACAGAACTCAACCACAGAGCGAAACATGGGAACTCAGTTTATATGAATCACAACGAACACCTCAGGCGGCAATAACAGATGACTTGGAAATCGTGGTCTCACCTGGACGTCTACACAGTGAATTCATGTGCCCAATTTGTTTGGGCACTGTAGTCATGCATCCACACAGAGCAATCAGGAAGCAGGACCTAGGAACAAACGGGCCAAAACAACTGATGACTCTGAGCTTGAACTTGATAATAACAAAGCAACAGTGGCCATTGATCCAGTAATGGATGGTGCTAGTGATATTGAACTGGTATTCAGGCCCCACCCAACACTTGTGGAAAAGGATGGCCGTGCACAGACACGGTACATAAAGACTTCAGGCAACGCTACTGTTGCTCACTTATCCAAGTATCTGGCTGTGAGGTCAGCTTTGGAAGAACTTGGAAGCAAAGGAGAATCAAGCCAGATGAACCTGGATACGGCCAGTGAGAAGCAGTACACGATTTACGCAGCGACAGCCAGGGGTAAGTTAACTGCATTAAATGGCTCCTTTTCTTTGGAATTGGTCAGTGAGAAGTACTGGAAGGTGAACAAACCCATGGAACTTTATTATGCACCCAACAAGGAGCACAAATAAGCTTTGAAAAATCAATTCTAAGACTGAACTCTTCATAGCCTATTTCTTTCATGTAAAGATGCACCATCATTGCTTTCACGGACAAATCTGAGATATGTTCAGTATTCCTTCTGAGCCAGATTTGTGCACACTGTTAGCTTCGTTTTCCCTTATTTAAGACTCTAGTAATTCAGTGCCCCTGCCCCCTATAGTATAGATAAATTGTATTCCACAGAACGTTTGTTTCCTTTCGGGGAGGATGCTTTGACCTAGGAGTTTTTTGTGGGTCTGTATTCTTTTCCTTTTTTTTCCCCCACCTTCTGATGGGGAACCTCAGCCAATCACATTCTGCTTAGGGTGTGTCCCCCTGGGGCCACACAAAACAAATAAAAGATGGAAGTGCCCTTGCTGCTCTGTCTTTGCCCCCTGCGTTCTCTGATCGCTGAAAGCCTGATTTTGTAAGTTTTCCTTTCTTCTGTTTATTAAAGCTATATCTTTTATATTAAGCTAGTCTGGTTAATTTTTAACTACCGATCGACCATGCCCTTCAACCTTCCAGGTTTTGATCTTTTGAGACAGGGTCCATTATATAGCGCTGCCTGGCCTGGAACTTGCCGAGCAGTCCACGGTGACCTGAATTTGGAACGATACTCCTGCCCAATTACTTGGATTATCAGCCTGATTACCACACCTGGCTTACGATTCAGCTAGCCATCAGCCATCCTTCCCTGTTTCAAAAGTTTTTTAGCCTGAAGAATGTTAGACAATATGTATTCTAACTTTTTACCTTGGAGTCTTGTATATTTATAATTGTGTATATAAACTAGTATCTTCACGAAGACCAAGACTCAAATTTACTGTGCTTAAACAAATCTCATATGATTATTATTTTTATGGTATTTTCTGACATAGTGTCTCATTTAAAAAGAAGTTCTTTATGAACTTGGTGTCCATTGTCATTCAATGTTTTTGGTTTTTACTTTTGACTTCTGCACACCCCCCCTTATGTTTTCTGCCATAAGTCTAGAATTTTTGGTCATCAAAGAGCATCAACAGAATTCTTTGTGAACACGGTTCTTTTACAGATTTCTCCGAAGAAAGAAGGGTTTTAATTGGTCATGAAATATATTCCTCACTTGTACATTTAAGAGTTCTTTTCTTCTATATTAGTTTTACTGTTCAGTTTCTTTATTATAAATGTTTGATGCTTTTCCCTATTAAAATACCAGAGATATGGAGATAGTTTGCACTTTAGCCTTGATGAAACGCATCCTCTTATTCTTTTCTTATTACATCAAGAATAACATGACACATAGAGCTAAAAATGAAAGAGAAAGGTTGCTTCTGTTTGAAGAGTTCTTTTTATTTTGAGCTGCCCTGTGTTTATAAACTTAGTGCTCTGCCGATTCCACTCTGTAGAAGCAGGCTAATGGAGCGTGATCATTGCTTCCATACTGAGACAGTTCTGTAGAGCATCAGCCAACAATAGTCATTCTCATATTCTTAGTTTTCTATTGAGACAGTGTTGAGAGTTTGGGAGCCACAAGGCTTTACGCTGACCAGTCAGAAATAATATTGACTTAAGTCTTAGTTTTCATTTCTGTCTTGAGTCTCTATATGTCTCCAAGTGTATATTCTCACAGTATTTACAGAAGACATGTTTGCATTGAAAAGTTTAACCCTTACAAAAGTGTTTTGATAGAAGGAAGTAGACATCCAAGTACCATTGTAACTAAGTCTGTCTAGTCATAAACATTTATCTGCCTGTTTTGACAGATTGGGGTCAGCTTGATGTTTTAACTTGAGCCAAGTATGAAAACTTAAAGGCTTACTCAATTTTTACCAATTTTTAAAAAATCTTTATTTTTCAATATTTTAAATTTTAAAGAAAATTATTGAAATCTGTGTTAACATTTTTTTGGTGATCTGTGTCATAAGATTTGCAAAACACCAAAATTATAAGAATTTTTATATCCAATTCCTTTTCTGGAGTAATGTTAAATCTTATAGATGATTAATGCATGTTTGCTGGATACAACCCTTGTTTTGTGATGTAATTGCTTAGATTTTGTTGTTAACATATTAGATTAATGGTTTTATTAAATAACTTCTCATTGTGGTTATTGAAAAACCATTTATTTACTTATATTATGTATATATTGTTCTTCCTGCATGTAAGCCTGCATGACAGAAGAGGGCACCAGATCTCATTATATATGGTTGTGAGCCACCATATGGTTACTGGGAATTGAACTCAGACTGCTGAAAGAGCAGCCAGTGCTCTTAACCTCTGAGCCATCTTTCCACCCTCATGTCTCTGCATTTTTATTATTCATGCTACACTTTACATATATTAATGTATGTATTTATGTGTATATGTATATTAATGTATGAATGCATAAATCATTGTAGAGCCACTTCAACCAATACTTCTTGGACACAGAGCCCTGGAGAAGGCTTAGGAAGCTGCATACAGATGTGCAACAGTGTTGCATCCTCCTAAATGAAAGTGGTCTGCTTTAGAAAGTGGGAAAGCTGGATGGTGGTGGAGCATGCCTTCAATCCCAGCACTTGGAAGGCAGAGGCAGACGGATCTCTGTGAGTTCTAGGCCAGCCTGGTCTACAAGAGCTAGTTCCAGGACAGGCTCTAAAGCTACAGAGAAACCCTGTCTCGAAAAACAAGAAGAAAAAGGAGGAGGAGGAGGAGGAAGAAGAAGAAGATGAGGAGGAAGAGGAGGAGGAAGAGGAAGAAAAAAGAAAAGAAAGTGGAAAAAAATAAAGTATCAGTTGCTGGCAGGTAGCTCAGTTTAAGTAAAATTGCCTGCTTCATAGCCTGAGTACCTGAGTTCAAACCACAGAGTCCATGTGACATAAGGAATCAGCTCCCTCCACATATATACTACCCTCGCATGTCTATCTACTCAAACATAGTCACATACACACATCAAAAGGGAAAAATGCCAAAAGTATTCAATAGAATGTGTTGGTTCATATGTCCACGCAGTCGTTAAGCACAGGATTCAAAGAGAAAAATTAGTAGTGAAATGGAAAAATAAAAATGGAATTTTGTGTGTGTGTGTGTGTGCGCGCGCACGTGCGCAGAGGCCAAAGAAAGATGTTGAGTGCACTGCTCTTAGCATTCTCCACCCTCTCTTTTCCTTTCTTTCTTTCTTTCCTTTTTTTTTTTTTTTTTTGAGACAGGATTTCTCTGTGTAGCCTTGACTGTCCTTGAACTCACTCTGTATACTGTGCTGGCCTCGAACTCACATGGAACCACCATGCCCCACCACTGCCCGGCTCTCCACCTTCTTTTTGAGACAGGGTCTCTCCCTTAATCTAAGAACTAGTCTAGGGGCTGGAGAGATGGTTCAGTGGCTAAGAGCACTGGCTACTCTTCCAGTGGTCCTGAGTTTAATTCCCAGCAACCACATGGTGGCTCATAATCATCTGTAATGAGATCTGGCGCCCTCTTCTGGCGTGCGGGCATACGTGGAGGCAGAATGTTGTATACATAATAAATAAATAAATCTTAAAAAAAAAAAAGAACTAGTCTAGCAGCCAGCAAATCTACCAGATCCTCCTATCTATGCCCACAACTCCTACGGTTGCACTAGGGTTAGAGCCTTAAAGTATGTCCATGATCTGCTTTTAGGTAGCTGTTGGATCCAAATTCTGGTTCTCATGATTTTTGCAGCAAAAGTGCACACATTCTGAGCTGTCTGGGGATGGCACAGCTCAGAAGGAAAGGGATCCTGGCAGTCGGGAGCCAGGGAATACTGAGTGTTACAGTTCGGGTGGGTGAGTGCAGGCCATGGTAAGGGTAGCAGCTTACATCCCTGTTCTAGTGAAGGTTTCCACAAAGTGGCAGAACGCTCCAACAGGAGAAGGCTTCCCTCGCACCAGAGTTACAGCCCTGCTCCACTCCTCTTCTGACTTTTCTGGCTAAGTCGTAACAAGTGCTGTAGGGGAAGACTTCCCCAGCCAAAGTCCCACGGAGTCTGTGCTCAGGCGAAAAAAGGTCTTCACCCAAACTTTTTTCAACAGATTTATTGGGAGGGAAGAATCCAGAAGAGTGACTGCCTTTACCATGATGGAAGAAGAAGCACTAACTGAAAAGGTGCAGGGCTTATATAGGGCTTCTTAGGGGTGGAATTTTCCCAGGAAAAAGAATTGGTTAGTTTTTCCCTGCTCAGGAATTGGTTAGTTGAATTGGTCAGGGGCAGAGCTGACTGATCTCAGAGCCAAAGTGTGTTTCTTTCATTGGCCTTTTTAAGCTTTGGGGCAGGATATATTTCTTTCACTGATTCTGATTCTAGGGACAAAGTATGTTTCTTTGGCACTGGTCTCGGAGTCAGGGTGCATTTCTTTGGGTCTGGGTTGAGGCTAAAGCATTTCTTTCACTGGCTCTGGCTTCAGAGCCAGGGTGGGTTTCTTTGGCTGGTCCTTTTACCCTACACTGCTTCTTCACCCCTCGATCCCTTCATTTGAAGCATAGCTGTTTCCGTGTAGTTCTTGCTAGCACTGAACTCACTACGTAGAAGCTGGCCTCAAATTCACAGAAATATATCTGCGTCTTCCTCGCAGGTACTGGGATTGAAGGCTCGCGCTACGACGACAGGTTATGTTTGTTTTGAGGCAAGGTCTCATTCTGGCCTAAAAGGATCTGGGACTCACTTTTTAGCCCAGGCTGATCTAGGTTCCTAGTTCACCGTGCCCAATGCTGGGATCAAAGGCGCGAGCCACTACTCCCGGTCCCCAGGCAAGATAAATGTTATATAAGATATAGAAGGCTATGCTGTAAAACTCAGTCGCTAGATTCAGCCCCTAACACTTCGGTTTAATATGTCCAGTTTTTGAAGATCACCCCCAAATTAGGTAGTGACTGCTTTATACACCCTGACAGGCCGCAAGGCATGCCGGGCTTCGTAGTCTTTTTTTCTAAGACCAATCTCAACGCCGTCTTCCGCACATCGCCTTGACGCAGCCGGAGGGGCGAGGCGCATATCCAATCGGAGGGTTGTAACGTGGCATACACCCTCAGCCCCGCCCGCGGCGGCTCCTACCACTCTGCGTGGCGGCGCAGGGGGATAGTGACCGGCTCCTCGCGCTGTGAGGCCTCCCTCAGGTCCAGGTC